ATGTGGTAGTTTATTTTTTATAACTTATTTATTATTGCCAATTAGTCTGTCCTCACTCTCAGTCCCTATAGAGGCATTTCCTCGCTGTTTACCTGGTGACGGGGGCGGCCAACGATGGAGGGGAACACAGCCCTGGGGGCATCGTCTCCGGCGAAGCCAGCCTTCACAAGGCCGGAGCCGTTGTCGCACACAAGGGCGGTAGTCTCTTCGTCGTCACACATGATGGCTTCTGTGAGGAGATGGAGAAAAAAGGCTTGAGTTCAACAAGTAAAATTCACACTGAGATACTGTATGTGACAAAAATGACTCCCAAATTAAATATCTGTTTCTAGTAAGCTCACACAGGATTAAAAAACTGACTAAAAGAACGAAAAAACAGCTGTAACATTTACTGGAGCAGGATCATGATCAGGTCTGTGGTTTGCGCAAAATGCATCCATGACGCACGGATACAAGGCCGTTACTGGAGGCCTGTATAAATCTACACACTCAAATTTTAAGTATGGAACGAAAAGGTTTTCGTTAAGATAACGAATGGTCTTGACTAAAATCAATTCCTTACAGAGTGATATTTAAATTACCATTATTCACTTATTCTAATTCTAATTCAAATTGTCTGATTGCGCATTGCAGCATCAGCCTCTGTGAAGCTGGTGACTCAGATTAATCTACTGTATCTGCTTTATCTATTTATCCCTTTATCGATCTAAAGTTTCTAGATCCTAAGATTAGAGCTTCTCCTGCCCGGCGCAGTAAATGTGTTCCCCTCTCTCTCAGTCCTCAGCCCTCTCCTAGCCTCTCTTCCAGTGGAGCTGCCCCTGTTCGTGCGTCCTGGCCCCGGTCAGGTCCTGTCTGACTCCTGCTCCAGTAGATGCTGCAGTGGTGCTCAGGGTAAGACCTACAGTCTGCTATCCCGGTGCGGATGAGTGGCTTCAGGGTCTTACCTTAGGAGGTGTGTCTGCGGCTTCGGAGTGAAAGACCCAACCAGTGCTACTGCTGAACCAGCTACGGTCCTCTGTGCAGCTCGTCCACCTTTTATACCCGAGCTCCACCATTCACAAACCTCAGCACTGGCCCCCATCCCGGCCCTCTGCCATATTAGGATGCTGACAGGCCGAGGGTGAGGAGTGGGTGGGGGTTCAGCATGGAGGCGCGCCTCAGGGTGGGAGGACGGGTGCCCTCATCCATCGGGCATCAGGAGAGGGGGCATGAGGAGTGACGCTGCGCGCCCCCGACGAGGAGAGAGCGCGCGCCATATATGGAACTGTCGCTTTGACCTCCCATCGATCCTCGCGGTCCCACCTCGAGGGCCGTAAAAGGAGCGCGAGGGCCACTTGGGGTTTCTAGGGGAGACAGTTGCTCCCTAGCAGGGTTGCAGATTTGCCGCTACTCGGCTCCATCCAGCCTTAAAATGGGAAAATGCTGCTCTCATCTGAACAAATTTAGGCCCCAGCAGGACTGACAGCTTACACAGGAGCTGAGCTGCAGCCATTAAATGCCAATTAAGAGTTCAATTCTCATTATGGAGATCACACAGATTTCCCAACATCACACCATTAAAGCTGAGAAGGGACATTCTGTGTGTACACAGTTCATTTCAGTTAATCAAATCAAATCAAGGTGTTATCTGTGGTTGATTGCATTAAATGTTGCATTAAAGATGAACAATATATGAATTAATTAATTTACATTATTTTTTGCATCAACACCATTAGTGTATATGTCACCATAAATGAATGACATATCATAATAAATCCTAAAGATTAATGTGTGTGCACTGAAGATCTCATTTTGTGACAAATTGCAATGTATCACTGCACACACAATAGTGTTGTATTCTTACTTTCTTTTTACATACATAGTAATTAAAATTAATTAATCTGCCACTGTGCAGACCTCATGTGTTCACACAGATCTGTCTGAAGCCCATTGAATAAATAAGGAGAGAACCACAGAAACAGCCAACAGCTGAAACCTTACCCGCCTCCTCTGCTCTGTCACAGGAGCAGTCGGATTAATTATAACTCTAATGGTGGAGGGGAGCTGCCGTGCATGTGGCTGGACAAATGGAGGAAGGATCACAGTGAATGTACATGTGTGCATGCACATGTTTGCTGTGTGTTGACACCAGGAGGAGAGGAAGAGGAGGTTTATAAGAGAAGAATAGATGGAAGTGTGGAGAAAAAGACAGAGAAAAGAAAATAAGTTAACTGAGCAGAAGCACAAATTACAAATTCTCAAGCTTCATGAAAAATCAATGCCAAATTGCACTTGCACATCCACACCTAAAGCTGGGTTCACATAGGACCAGGAAAATGTTACCATGTACAGTATGGCATGTCACGACCTGGATTCTCCTTATAGCAGCAACAGAATGTATCACTATGGATTTAACATGAATGGTTATAGCATGTTATCTCGCCATGTCAAATCCATGGAAAGTCATATTCGAAACTCGTCTTAAATCAGGCCCGATTAATTGAGGAGGAATTCTGAGTTGCATTAATGCAAGTCCTACACATGAAGTTCAGTTTTTACTGTGTACACTAAAATCTGTTAGTGGTGGGGGGGTTTATTCTTATAGGGTTCATTCATTGATATATCTAGAAAAACATGGGACAAGAAGAAGGAGGGAGGGACATCTTTGAAGTCTTGGAGGACGAGAGCAAATACAGATTGCAAATAGTTTGTGTGTGTGTGTGTGTGTGTGTGTATGTGTGTCAGTGGGAGGGGGGTGAGTGCAGGGGCGGCAGAGCAAGGTTGAGCTACTTTTATGCACTTGTTGTGAGCCATTCTGGATCCGAGGGCCTGTGTGAAACGCCTAAAATGTAAAGGGGCTGGCAGTTGGAGGGAGAGAGAGGGAGGGTAAATGAGGAAGGAGGTGAGGAGAGGTCAGAGGGGCCGAGGGGGAGGAGAGTTGTGAGACTTCTCCTGGAGAGGCTGGGGGGGGTTAAAGGGGCGTATGTGGCAGGTGGTTGACGACATGAGTTTAGTGTCACTCAACCAGCTGAAGACTCTGGAGAGAAGAGTGTAGTTCTTGTATCATAGATGTTGTGGTGAAGACGACCTGGAGAGACCTGGAGAGAGAAAACAAATCCAATGTGATCATTTCAGTCAGTAGATTTTAAAAGAAGAAGAGGTGGACAGGTGGAGACAAAGGGAGTTTTTTGGGTCAGGTCATAGCAGTTTTTCAGATTATTTGCACTTTAAGAGAGAATGTCCAGGACTGTAATGCAGCACAGAGGGTGAGAGTGTGAGGGAAAGTGTAAGATTGGCACAAGCTCGATATTCAGTCTACCTGGAACCAATAATCTAGCTGTAGGACAGTGTTGAACCTTTTAAAGTGTGGCAGCAACACGTACAGTAGACATTTCTACAAGCCAGAACAATCAGTTTATCTTTAGTTGAGTTTGTTATCTGTGCTGTTGCAGTGACGAATGACTGAGGATCCTGTGGATATTGTTGCACAGGTAAAACTAGCAAATTGATTGAATCTCAGCTGTTTGATCGATTCCTGTTTTCCCTCATTTTTGTTACTGATGTGCAAATTCAAGTTCCATCCTCAGGGTGCACCGCTCTCTCCCACTCAGATTGAGGTTAAACAAACTCCAGCCTGTGTGAAGACAAACCAAATTTCTCCAAAAGCACAAATGCATTTTGTCTTAATTTGCAGCAGAAGCCCCTTGGTATTATATGTATTAAACACTGGAGGTGGACAGTGTTTACATAGTGCAGACAGGCAGAGCTGGGAGCATGGTCCCTGATCACTGAGAATCAGCTTTAAAGTTTGATGTGTTGTGCTTTCAGGAGCTTAATGTGTTCTCCTCGTGTTGCTCTGCATGTTTTTTTCCAGAACATGTTAATGTGGCATGGTTGAGCAGCAGATTGACATATTCTCTTTCAAATTCAAACGTTTTTGCCAAGTTGCAAAGTCAAATTTCTTTGCTCCTATTTACGAACAAATAAGGCTCTATGTAACGTCTTCAAGTAATAAATGGACTTAGAATATTGTAAGTCCAAAGAGGGTGAGAACTTCTCCTGCAGTTCCTCAAATAGCCCAGGGTACAGTGAAAAGTGAGGGGAGCTGAAGCACATGGAGCTGGAATTAGAAACACCACCCAGGGCTGAACAGCACCTGGTCAGCTGAGACCAGTCGTCCTCTGCAGGACAGGAGCACAACTGCTGCCTGTGCCGGAGGGAAGAATGTCCTGCAACTGAACGAGCAAGAGACGTTAGATCATCATCATCATACAGATCAAACTGTGCAACAGAAAACAGTGGGGGGAAAAAAAGATCTCATCTAATATCTCATAAGATCGTGTGGCTGTTCTGTTTCATATCATATGAAGATTTGAAATGTATAAATATAAACATCTGACTTGATTTCAAGTATCAAATCTGGTTGATGTTTACTTGATACATCTCTTAACCTGCCCCACACTTATATGGAATATGTAAATATAGAGATATATTATATAAATCAGTAGATCACACTTGTGTACTGGATCCAGTGGCAGCTGATTGGACAATGAGCAGGAGAGAAGTTCACCGCAAAGTCAACACAACATGCCGCCGGCTAAATACACATCATTACAACCAGGTTTTATTTAGGTATGAATGACTGAATGAACATTGATCCCAGGAACCAGCAGTGACCAGTGGAACATTTCCTGGGCCTGGCCTTTGTGGTAGTCCAGCAGCACCACCTACTGGCAGCCTGACACACTGCATGGAACACAGAGTGAAGGTTTGAGTGGGCTCTTCTTCCATTTGTAGTAGTTTTGTGGAGTGGTGAAGTTCTGGATATAAAAAATACTGCTACTAGTTAGTAATATTTATGTTAAATGATGATGGCTGTTAATTCATGTATAATTGATTTGTTATTTGATTTGATATGTTAAACTGCTTAAGCAGCAAATTAAGTGACAACTTCACTAATAAAAAAAATGATTTTAATACTAGTACCACAAAAAGCTCTTCTTTTAAATATTTCACTTTATTTCTCTTTACATATATGTATAATAATTTACAGAAAGTCATTACAAATGTTAATCATATAATTTAAAGCTCAACACATACATGACAATCATACGAGTTTGCTGTCCTCTGTGATTTATAATCAGCTTCAGATGTTATTGTGAAGAGGCAAATTTTATCTTTGTTTTCAGTGGATCAAAGTTTGGGTATTAATGGATGGAGGAAACACTGGAGAAGAAACATAACTAATGTTAACAGATGATGTTCACGGCAACATTGAAAGTGAGATTTATTTTATAAATGTTAAATTTGACTAATGTGTTTCAAGTAAAAACTGTTGCCTTATTGGTAAAATAACAAGACATACTTATAAAGAGAATAAAACTATTAGGAAACTTCCCATAACAAATCAGCCTTTAAAGAATATGTTAACTGATGTACAATGTAAGCAATGAAATAAATTAATACATTAAACCAGAAAGTGAGTAATAATGACGATAGTGAGACAATCAAAATGGCTGATAATCAGCGATCAGTGTTGTGTTAATTCCACGAATCGCTGCCTTCAAATCATGTATAAAAAGTTACATCCACAAAGATTCAAGTTTCTCTTACTAAACAAAGGACGCTTGTTCAACATATACAACACGACAGCAACAGAGCATGATGCTGGGTCGTTCCTGATGTGCAATTCTAGAAACAACCAAATCTGGAATTACTTCAAAGTAGTCGAGAAGTAAAGCTCAAGGCATTTGCATGTGTGGTGTAAACAAGACAAGAAAATCCACTCTCTGGGCGGTGAACTGGGTTTTTACGAGCCAAATGTTTACTGGGGAGAATCATTACGACTCTCAGAGCCAGCGATAATATTTAACCGGCTCAACAGTGCCGAGGCCAACATGTCGGGGGTTTAAGAGCTGTTTGTATAGACTTTAATGCAGGCCAAGTGTACACATGCACACTTCATGATGAACAGAGCATGGAGGGGACAGGTCAGCTCACACTCACATGATCTAATGATTGTTTCTGTTTTTCCATTATCTAATGTCCATAGCAAGAATTTCACATGATTAACTCTTTTTGGAGAAAGATAAAAAGGTGACGTGATTAATGATTTCTGAAATATTTGAATTGAAGACGCCTCAAGCATCTTTCCTCCTCAGGTAGAGCAGAACATCTCTCAGAGACGACAATGCTTATCAGGTGTCAATCAACTGTCTTTATATCACTGCTCACTTTGCTTTTGTGGGACAGTTGTGTTTTAAGTTTTCAGGGCTGTTAAATCCAAGGCAAGAAAAACTAGACAGTAAGTCCCTTCTTAGCTCCTCAGCTTAGACTTTTGGACTGCTGCTCTTCTTTTCCACAACAAATGTGCATACTGTACATTAACCACAATATGTCAGACTAGTGTTAAGTCCACTTTGACAGCACAGTGTAGACATGATGAATAACTGCTTCATTTGTCTTGTTTACAATTCAAAATGGCAGGAAGAGGCTCTGAATAGAAAAATGTGTGATACATAAACACAAATACATGTGTATTCAACATACTGGACTCCGTTTTAAAAATATATATATATTTTGTGATGAAGAACAGTATCCACACATTTGACTCTCCACTTTCTTTAACATGACGGGATGGGGCATTAGCCTTGGCGGAGGTTTGCCCTCTCTGAGCGCCCTTCTAGTTAAAGCTGGATTGGAGCTTTTCTCCAAAGCTACAGTAGTGACAGTGATTTAAATCCATGAGCCTCGAGTTTCAGGAGTGTTCCTCTTCATCCCGTCTCATTTTTTACTCTCTCCCTGTCTCATTTTTTCAGTGTAGAATAATAATATATTATCAAAAGAAAGTTTCTCTATAACTTTACTGATCCATGTTTCAGTTCTTAGGTCTTCACTGTGGATTACCCTGGGTGTCCATTACAATTAGCTCTTTATGTGATGCTACATAGTCATTCCAGTGGTGAAGGGACTCAAAGCACTGAAGAAAATCCCTTTGTTTCTCAGTGGCTTCCACATCTCCCATCTCTAGTCCTCTGCTTTCCTTCAGCGTTTATCCACCTCTCTCCATTCCAGGAAAAAAAAGAGAGTTTCATTGTTCATCTCACTCCTCCTCTGTTTTTAGGGAGCATTTCATCTCATTGTGGAGCGAAGTCACTGACCTCACCTCCATGTTTCCTTGGATTCCATGTGTCTCTACTCACTGTCCTCTCAGGACAGGGCTTGTTTCTGTTCCTCCTGAAGAAACGTCTGTTTCTCCATCAGTTTTCTGAACAGTCCTTGCCTGTTGCCTAGCAGCTCTGTGTGCTGACCACACTCTGCAACACGGCGCTGATCTAGTACAGCCACAGCATTCGCATTCTTGATAGTGGACAGACGGTGAGCGATGATCATGACCGTCCTCCCTATTGATTGGATGAGAGGGGCAGGAAACGAAAGTATTAATAAGTCTCATTCAGAAAAAACTGCTGATTAAACACAAAGCGGAAGAAACTCAAAGACAAAGAGATGTACCTTCCATCAGGCGCTCCAAGGCCTCCTGGACCAGGAACTCATTCTCAGCATCCAGTGCACTGAGGAAAAATGTTGTTTAGGATCTTTTGTTTTAACAATTGACCTAACACCCATCTCAATGGAGAATAAGAACATTTGAAACGACAAAGATAAAGAGGATTGTAAGTAAAGCATATTTGTTAACTGACTGTACTTTAATTCTTTACAATCAGACTAAGACTCTCACCTGGTAGCCTCGTCTAAAAGCAGGATCTTTGGATTCTGTGGAGAGAAAACACAAATATATTGTTATGCAAAATCATTCAGGTTCAACAGAAAGGATGAGGATACAAGCAACACAAAAATGCTGTGGTTGTCACCTTGAGCAAAGCTCTGGCTATGGCTATCCTCTGCTTCTGACCACCTGAGACACAAACACAGAAGTTAACATCATTTACACGTGCAATCTTCACACAGAGTTTACCTTGACCCAACCTGAGCCCATAGCCACACTCAAATGTGCACTGTAAGGCTAGGTAGAAATGGAAAAACTGCAATTAAAAAAAACATAACACTTTTGTTTGTCATACAGAATTGATGTTTATATTGTACAATATGTAGTATATAGCACATTTTGGTGAAGTTTTTGTTGAACAAATAAAAATGTTCCGATGAACACTTGACAGCTCCATTAAAGTAAATAAAAGACTACTAGAGACAGTTACTTGAATCAACATTGTTATGATAATCCTGCTGCCTCCCTGCCTCTGTTCCTCACCTGACAGCAGCACTCCTTTCTCCCCCACTATAGTGTCGAAGCCATCAGGAAAAGCCTGGATGAAATCGTAGGCGTTAGCCACTCTGGCTGCTCTGTAGATGTCTTCTGTGGGCACACCCGCTGGGTTCTCTGCACCGTACGCAATATTATCCCTGATAGAGCAAGAGAACAGCACGGGCTCCTGGGAGAGAGGAGAGAGGAGCACAGAGAGAATGTGTATCTTCACTCAAAATGCAAATTCTTTTGGGACGGTTACAGGTAATTGAAATGTATGACATGTTTTGTGTGTCTGCCGAGTTTCTGTGCATGTGCTGTGAGATATGTTGTATAGGGTGTATAACATTCATTTATTTATTACCTGGCTGACAGTTCCAATGTGACGCCTGAGCCAATAGGGATTTAGATCCCTGATGTCATGACCATCTATGTTGATGATACCTGGAAAGGAGAGGGTTTTTTAAGAAAGACAACCATTTGATATAAAGTATGTAGTCTTATTAATTTGTCATCATCTGATTTTTAACCATCTGATGACTGAGCAGTAGCTGAAAGAGCTCTTGTTCTCACCTTCATCAGCGTCATACAGTCTGAGCAGCAGCGAGACCAGGGTAGATTTTCCAGACCCACTGGATCCCACTACTGCCATGATGGTTCCAGCCGGGACCAGCAGACTAAGGTTCTGGAAAATAGGAGCCTCTTTTCGGGTCGGGTAGGCAAAAGAGACATCACAGAACTGCAGCTGACCCTTCAGCTGGTCTGCAGGGAGAACTAGACCTTCTGTGGAGGAACGGAGACAAGGACAAATTAAAAAATGTAATAAAAAATTTAAGCAAATAAGTAAAAATAAAACAAATTGTTCATGTTTATTCATGGATGAGGCAAAAAAAACATGAATATAAATAAAAGGCATAAAGAGATGTTTGCAATAATAAATAAAATATTCACATTTTCAAAGAAGCAGTGAATCTTTGGTTGCACAGAGTGACAGTGCAGACAATTAACTTTCCAGTAAGGATTGAAGGAAAATATAATGTAATCATCAATTCTGAAAACGCTTTACACTAAATATAATCTGCTTTCTCAATACTTAAATAACTGTAATATGTTTGAGATATAATTTCAAAAAGGAATTGGCAACTCATTGATGTAGTGAGGTAATGCCTGTGTGACTGTATGTGTGTATGTGTACTGACCGTTGAGGGGAAACTCAGGCTTTCTGTCCAGCAGCTCCCAAAGTCGGGTTCCTGCTCCAAAACCCTTCATCAGCTCAGAGTAGAATGAACTCAGTCCTAAGAATCGATACAGAAAAAAACAGCACATTATCATCAATCATAGTTATAGTGCACATGGATGTACACAGTGCAGATGAACAGATTCATTTAAGAGGCCTGTGCCCATGCATGTTCAGTATGTGTGTTACCTGCGATACTGATGCCAACCCAGAAGGTGTACATGAGGAACGATGAAAGCTCTCCCACGGTCATGTGCTGGCTGGCCATCAGAAGGCCTCCTTTGTAGAGCACTGACAGGATCATGATGTTACCACTGAGACCAGTCTGAAATATCAGGAAGGGAAAAATGTTATCAGAACATCTAGACAAAAACTGGGGTGAATTTTATCTGATGAACACTTTGACATATTAATACGGACACAGATGTCCAAATGATATAAAACAGTTAAGTCTTTTAAGGGCTTGTTTAATCATGTCATTAAGTTGTTAAATCACTTGATGTAGTTCTCCTCTAAATGTTTAAAGAGCACAAGCGGGCTAATATATTCTCTGACCACGTATGGAGGATGGGAAAATACTTTTTATGGTGAAACATCCCAGACAAGGACATAACAGGCACTGTGGTCGTGTAGTAACCCTAACATACTGTGGCAAAATGCAGAAGTCTGTGTGCAACAACTCATTTGCTAACAGTGGATTTAGTTTGCATTGCTGACACGCATGCATGCACACACGCACGCACACACACTTACCACTCCAAAAAAACCAGCTCGTAACACAGCTTCCTTCTTGGCCAGGCTGAGGACCTGGTCTGTCTTCTCTGTGTATGTGCTGACCTCAGACAGCTCTTTACCAAAAGCCCTGACTGTCCGCATGTTGCTGATACGCTCCTCCGCCAACTACACACACCCACAAACACATTTTTGTCATTAGAGCTTTATCAACAGGAAATTAGATTATCAACATAACAAACTGAATCTGTCTACAAATGTAATTAAATTAGCACAGGCAGTGAAGCATTTATCAAACACACACACACAAATATGGGATGGACATGAGGGCTTCACTAACCATGAATTCGAAAAGCTGTTTTCAGAGAAGAGCTTTATCAAATTAATATACTAAAATGGACAAAAAACGAATTCATAGACAAAACAACTTTGAAATTGTAATTTGTCACAGCTTCCCTGTTTACAACATCTACACCCTCAAATAATGTCTTGTTAATTCCTGTACTAAGAATAAAACCCTCAGCTGTATCTTCAGGCTGTTTCTACCTGTGTAGCTTGTGCGAGTGCGTCCTGTGTGCGTTTGGAGATGGAGCGAAGATATCGGCCATAGCCTACAGCGAGACCGGCCAGAGGAGGAACAATCATCAACACAAAGCTCGCAAGACTGGGGGAGACATAGAACTGGAAGAGCAGAAAACACAAGTGTTAATGGAAATAAAAAGAAAAGGGAGGAGGGGAACAGAAGACATTCACACCAAATGACTCTGATCAGTAATTACAGTAATGATTACCATTCATTTAGTTCAATGTTCATGACACCAGGAAATAATTTGACTTCCTTGTAGGGAAAACCAATTGACTTCAAGGCATGCAACATGTTTATTATCAGCTTCCTGGTATTACAAATGATGCTAAGGTGTTTATGATAGTTACTTACAAGTCAATATTATTTCAAGAAGCTGCTGGTCAAAACTGTAGATACACAATATCTTAGTTCCTAGCAGTTTGTCTGGGGTGTGACACTCTTTCAACATAGTCTTGCATGGATAAGAAGTGTCATTTAAACCTGTTTTCCAACAATCCTTGGCCCACAAGTAATGATATAAATGGAAACTGCCAGCTCACATACAAACAGCTCTGAATGGAAAGATGCAAACAAAAGATCTGTCTTTGTACGTCCTACAAAGCAAGAGAGTGAAAGAGGGGGTTTGGTTTCTGGTTTTGATTTCTTTCTGTTTCTTTTTTGTTTTTGACTTCAAAAGCAATTTGCACTTTAGCTGGGAAAGTGCTTCATGAATAAAATGTATTATTCATTTATCTTTAAGATGTGAACTGTATACAGTGCTGTACTGCCGACCTGTTTTTAAATGACTGATTGTCTTCAACATTATTGGGCATCATTTGTTTATCATCCAACTGATTTCAAATCACAAAAAAAAGTTTTAGATTAGATATTTTAGATTGACATCACAGTTCTGATTATCTGGATTGATAAAATGAATAGACACAATGTGCAAGATAATTATTTTATGGCTAATGGGATATTGAGTGCGTCCTTTTTTGCAGTAATTGTGATAAAATAATTTCTTTCTCATCAGAAATGGAATACCCAACACATGTATTTATGCTTTAAATGATGTCTGTTAATTTGGCAATCAAACCTGTCCTCACCAGCCACAGAGGACAACTCTGAGTGACGCACTCACCATCATACTGACACCAGCAGCTGCTTGGGTGACAGCTCTCAGACCGTCTGATAGGTTGTCTGTGATTGAGCGCCCGACCACGGCTGTGTCAGCTGAGAGGCGGTTGATAAGCTCCCCGGTCCTGTTCTGATCAAAAAAGGCCACTTCCTGTCTGAGAATAGAGGAGAAGACGGAGGCTCGGAGATTACTAACGATCCGCTGACCTGCAGAGAGAAAGTAAAATATATTAGTGAGAAAAACAGAGATGTACTGAAACAATCACTTGATTTAATAATAAGAAAAATCATCATGTATTGTAGTTTTTTTCAGACCACTTCATGTGAATGTGTCTGTGCCTTTACAGTTTCAATCTGCCTCCTGGTCTCACCTGAGAACTGCATGAGGTAGAGTCTGGCGGCGTTGGCTGCTCCACCACACAGAAACACTCCCGTCAGCATGATACATAATGACGTCAGGGATGCCGTCATCGCCTCCGTGTCTGTTCCAGTGGTGTATATGGTGTCGATCACTTTACCAAGGAAAAACGGAGCTGACATGGTGACTGCACTGGAGACAGTTAGGAATCCAAGAGCAGCTGGGGTGAAAAAAAGAATTAAGAATTAGACATGAGGAGGAAAGGTGAAGTGAAAGCAGGAGATCCACTGAAGACCGTGGAAACTAAAACCACAGTTACAAATGATCAAAATTTGGTAGCAGTTATTACAGTAACCCTGAATCACGAGATACTCTAAACTCTTTTAACGGTGCTCTTCAAATGAACATCTGAAAGAACTGATTTGTACTATGATTAGTACTGCTCAGTATCAGCCTCAACTGTGTAATGAAAACAACGTGATGGTGTTAATAATCTCTGAGAACCTTTCTCAAATCAAGCAGACCAGAGAGATCCAAAATAAAAATATAAATAAATGTAATGAGTTCTTCCCTGACTCATACCGTATCCTTACACCAAGTTTAGTGGTAATCCATCTTGTAGTTTTAGTATAATCATGCTTAAGCCCAATTCATGCTTCTGCGTTGAAGCTACGCTGTAGCCTAAATTTCCCTCAGGATCGATAAAGTATCTTTCTGTTTATCCAGCCTACACAGAGCCCTACGCCATAAGCTGACGTGCACCTCCCCAAATATTTCCCTACACGTCGAGGCGTTACAGACCGCAAGAGCTGTGATTGGTCCCTTTGGTCTGACAGACTTGCCGCCATTTTTGAAATGATTTAAAGGAAAGAACACGGACAATATATTTCTTTACTTCATTGCTGTCACAATCCTCTCGCTATTGTTCTGAAGTAAAGAGTGAAGCCAGAGAATTTGTAAATAAGCGGGCAAGAAACCATAAGCCACTCAACACCAGCATCGTCTGTATCTACTGCTTAGCTTCAAGGCAGAAGCATGAATCGGCCTTTACAAACAGACGAAAACATAACCTCCTTGGAGGAAGAAATGAAATATAATGGAATTGGCAGGAAAGGGAAAGTCTTTCAACAATTTCACATCTTCTTAAAGAAAACTATTAAACAGCACTTAAGGATTGGCTCAATAGATCCAGTTTTGTCATCAACATACAACTATGGTAATGCTGGGGGCCCCTCGCTGCCTGTGCTACGCCCCTGGCCTAATACACACACAGCTTACCTGCCAGTCTCCATCTCTCTGGGTGAGCGAGTCCCACAACCCTCTTCACGTCCTCCAAAGGGACAGTGGTGGGCGTCTGTTCTCTGTCCGCCTGGGTCTTCACTGCTCCGGCCGCCGGGGAGGACGAGGAGGCGGCTGAGGAGCTGGCGAAAGCGACAGGTGTGCGTGTGACTGTCCGTGCCCGGGCTGTGGACTCGGACGTGTGTAGACAGAATATGGAGAGCGAGCTGCGGGGCAGGACCGACGTGAGGGGCCTGGCTGCCGGGTGGAGCGAGAAGTTAACCCCGGTCCTCCTCCGGGGGTCGGCTGAGGGGGTCAGGCGGTGCCCCCGTGATAACCCCCTGGCCTGAGTCAGTCTCAGTCGGGATAAATGCACTCCGTGCGTGCAGCCTGTCGAGCGGACTAACAGCCACATTGTCCTAGATGCGAGCTAAATTAAACACAGTGGAGCCAAAGACATTAACCAGTGATGATAAGAATGTGGTGACGAGGTGTTGGAAGGTCCATGTCAGCTCCGCAGCCGTCAGGTCAACATGCCGCCTCCATATCCGCCCAACTGCCGAACCTGCCGCCGCTTCATTGTCGAGTTGTGACCGTTATTGTGGTTTTTATCTGCGCTTCACAGGCGTCTTCGGTTTATCTCTTATCGCCGAGCGGCTAGCAGCACGTCCCCGCCCGTCACCGACATCTGCCGGCCCCTGACACATGTGTGGCTGACCGGAGACAGGGGCGACACTACGATCACCCCGAGGACAGCAGCTGATGGTCCGGTAGAGAGGTGGGAGCGGTGAGGAGCAGTGAGGAGCAGCGGGAGAGGAAAGGTGACCCTGCAGCTCCTGGTTCACACGAAGCTGCTGCTGCTCGATGTCACCACACGAAACTTCCTCCAGACGAGACCAATCCAGCCCAGAGCAGGCCTGGGTGTCTGTTGTAATGCTTTATTGACAAACAGCAACATTAACAACGATCAGAGCGAACCTTTATCTTTATATATCTTTATATACAGTCTATGGAGCGAACCTCTTTATATACAGTCTATGGAGCGAACACAACAACACAACAACAAATAATAATACCAGAGATTAATCAGGATTATAGAGGGTTCATACATTCGTTGTTTTCAAAGTTAAATATGTTGTTTGACTTTAACATGTTTAAAAAGGATGGTTTATAATTGGGAAATTTAGATTTGTGGATATATGTGATTTAGTAAGTAATAGGTT